TTGAGCGGCGTGAAGATGAGTCAAACCAGTATTCTCGTATAAATTGTATCGAGATAAATGGAATACCCGAGATTGAGAAAGAAGATGTTTTGGAAGTGGTAAAAAGTGTTGGAAGAAGCTTAGACGTAGCATTAACGGAAGAGTCAGTGGATGCGTGTCACAGACTTGGACCTAAGCACAGAAGTGGAATCCAGCCCCGAGGTATAATAGTTAAGTTTACCAGAAGAATCAAAAAGGAAGAGTTCCTAAAGCAGAGAAGAGTTAAGCGCGATCTCAATACACATGACGTTGGCTATGTTGATCATCCTGCTGAAATTGTCTACATTAATGAAAGTTTGACCAAAGCAAGACGTGAAGTTTACAAGGAAGTCCGAACTCTAAAGAAAACTTATAAATACAGCTACGTATGGGTGAGAGGTGGAACGATCCTCGTACGACCAACGGAAGACGCTAGAATAATTGCAGTCACTACAATGGAGGACTTGGAGAAGCTACCAAGACATGCCCCTGAACCTGCACCTGCGCCAGCGTCGCCGAATTCATCTGATTCTCAGGATGCGGCCTCCTCCGAACAGTAAACAGTATTATTTTCTTGGTGTTACTTTTTGTCTTTTGTGTTTTTGGTCTTTTAATCAGAAATGGAAGTGCAATTGTACATTGAGGTTTAATCATTCAAATGAATAGTATTAGTTTTAATAATCTTTGTTCAAATGATATCGTAGTGTTACAGCAAAACATTCGTAGCTTAAGGAAAAATTTTGATTCTTTTGTCTCGGAATTACACTCCATTGATCAAATGCCAGATATTATAATTTTAACAGAGATTTGGATTGATACAAGCGAGGTAAATTTCTACAGCCTACCTAATTATTCAATGTTTGTAAAATGTAACTCTAATCAAAGATCAGGTGGAGTAGTTGTATTTGTGACTGATAAGATAACAGCTATCCAGTTGGACAGCACAAATATGATAACAGCTGATTGTGTGCATTTAAAAATATCCTTAATCGCCAATAATTCCTTTGAAATCTTGGCGATTTATAGATTACATGAATTCGCCGCGGACAATTTCGTTGATGAATTAGATACAATACTAGCATTAATTAAAACCACTAACTTAATGATAAATGGAGATATTAATATTAACATTATTGATAAATCAATTTTATGTGATAAATACTTAATTAGAATGGCCAGTCATGGTCTAAAGTCACTAATCAATGAGCCCACCAGGGTTACAAAGCTAACAAAAACATGTATTGACCATGTCTTTTTACGAAGTAAACTTAACAGTAATTTCATTTGTGAAGCCCAAGTAATCAAAACATGTATAACCGATCATTGGTCAACTGTAGCTTGTATGAGGTACAATAAACCGGTTCAAGTTAAGGATAATAGTAAAACCAAACAATTTTCAAAACTGGACATTGCACATTTGAAAACAGTTGTAAGCAAAACAGATTGGAGTTCGGCCTTTTCAACAAATTCAGCTTCGACTTCCTTTGATTATTTTTCACATAAACTACAACATTGTATTAATGAGTCCTATAAAATTATAAACATAAAATCAAACTTTAAAAACCCTTGGATGAATGTAACTATAAAACATAATATTAAAATTAAAAACAAACTTTATAGAGATTTCTTGAAAAAACCAAATGACCCAACATTAGAACAGAGATACAAACATTTTAAGAATTTAGTTATAAACCAAATAAGATATGCGAAAAATAAGTACTTTTCAGACCAGTTAGAAAATAACATGAAAAATAGTAAAAACCAATGGAATTTGATAAAAGAGTTAACAGGTGCAAACATAAAGGTAGTACCCCAATTGTACTAAAAAATGAAATCGGGCAATTGATTGACAACCCCGATGAGGTTACGAATACCTTAAATAACTTTTTTTGCTCAGTGGCTGATGACTTGAGAAACGAAATCTTGTTCGATAAGGCAAACATCAATAGTGTATTTGACCCTTACAGGAATACCTTTGAAAGGACCTCAACTAAAGATTCAATTTTTCTTTACCCAACGTACGAGGAGGAAATAATGAAAATTATAAATTCATTAAATGATAACAAAGCACCAGGTTATGACAATTTAACTCCTAATATAATAAAAACTATAGCTAATTCCATTGTACATGTTTTAGCCAACATTTTTAATTTAAGCTTAGCAGCTGGGGAATTTCCAGTTAAATTGAAAAAATCAGTCGTTACACCGTTATATAAAAAGAATGATAGATATAATCCAAGTAACTATCGACCAATAGCCCTCTTACCAATTTTCTCAAAAATACTTGAAAAAATAGTAAAAGTTAGGTTGGTAAATTTTTTAACTAAGCATCAATTCTTTAGCAAAAAGCAATTTGGATTCCAAAGCAAATTAAACACTTGTTCTGCTCTTATTGAGTATATGTCGGATATTTACACAAATGTTAATAATGGAAAAGTCTGTGGAGGTATTTTCGTAGACCTGATGAAGGCATTCGATATGGTAGACCATGGAATTCTGTTGGAAAGGATGTATCATGCTGGAATAAGGGGAGTTGCTCTAAAATGGTTCCGTTCCTACCTGTCAGGACGAAGCCAAACCACAAGGGCAAATAATTGTGTTAGTGAGGAAGGTCGGGTAAAACTTGGCATACCACAGGGCTCAGTTTTGTCCGGTCCCTTGTTTCTGATTTTTATCAATGACCTTTGTAACGGCAAATTTAAAGGTAATTTAGTAGCTTTCGCTGACGATACAGCTCTGTCATACGAAGCAAACTCATTATGTGAGTTAAATACTAAAATGCAACATGACGTGAATGCTCTGAGGTGGTGGTTTACATCAAATTTAATGGTCATGAGCCCAAAAACCAAATATATCATATTCAACCTAACAAAACATACACACTTTGCAAAATCCCTGAAATATCACAACGTAACATGCCCTACAAGTTTTAACATTTGTAACTGTCAAGACCTTGAGCAAGTAGGAAGCATAAAGTATTTAGGCTTATACGTGGACAGCCAACTTAATTGGAAAGAACATATTTCATACTTAAAACTAAAATTAGTAAAATACATCCGTATATTCTACATGCTCAGAAGCGTATGTTATATACAGCTTCTTAGATCAATTTATTTCGCATTCATAAATTCAAAAATTGAATATGGCATAGAAATCTGGGGTGGGACATATTTTACCACATTAAAACCAATAATCACACTACAAAAAGCCTTCGTCAGAATAATACTAAACGAAACAAAAACCAAACCTTCTCTACCTCTTTTCCAAAGTATAAACATTTTGCCCTTTAGAAACTTATACGTTTTTAAGGTTTTAAGAATTTTTTTTAATAGATGTGATACACACAGAATGAACCAGGGCTATATCACATTAAGGAACGTGAGTAAAATGTATGTTCCTCGACCCAATTTATCCCACTTCAAAAAATATTTTTTGTACTTAGCACCAACGTTTTATAATCTACTTCCAAACTATATTAAAGAGTGTAAAAACAAGAACCAATTCAATAAAATTATACGTAACTACTTACTTAATCATAATGACATTAATCAATTTTTTACTACTCTAATATAAAGACATAGTGTTTTCCTTTGATAGTTATAGTCTTAGTTATAGTTTGTTAAACAATGCCTAATACTTTAATAAGACGTAAGAATTAAGGAAGTAATATTGTTTCATGTGAAGAAGCCACGTTTATGTTATTTTTAAATATTGTGTAGTATAACCGTGGTACTGATCCGGCCAGGCACTCTCTACCCTACTACTGAGTTTGTGTAAGATTCAAATATAGATCCCGCACAGGTTTATAACCTCAGGGCTTTATTGCTCTATGATTCTCTTTATTATTATATCCCATGTTTTAAACAGTTAAGGTTTAAAAAATTTGTGTAAGTTCATAGGCATATTTGTATAAATAGTATAACCAGAATTGTGTTCAATACTATTGTGATTGTTTACAATAACTGTATATTATGTACATTGAGCAATAAAGAATTTTTCTATTCTATTCTAATAGATTAATAAAAACACTAAAATGAATTTAAAACACGACTCCAAAGATCGTGCGGTCGGAAACCGCTATTGCCGCGATCGGGTATGACGACGATGATGTTTCCGTAACAGCGGGAGTCGTTGATAACATCTAAACGTCTGCGGGAGATGTTAATGAATTTGCCACGATCGCGCATGACGACGATGACGTTTCCATGACCGCGGGAGGCGATGATAACGTCTAAACATTCGCGGGAGATGTTCATGATTTTGCCGCGATCCCGCAAGATGTCGATGACATTTCCGTGACCGCGGGAATGAATAAGGATGTTTACACTGCTGCGGGAGATGATAACATTTTTTCCGCGACTGCGGAAGACAATGATAATGTCTACATGACCGCGGGAGATGTTCATGATTTTGCCGCAATTGTGCAAGACGACGATGACGTTTCTGTGACCGTGGGAGTACATTATGATGTCTAAATGGCCGCAGGAGATCTTCATGATTTTGCCGCTATCACGAAAGACTATGATGATGTTTCCGTGACTGCGGGAGTGGATGCTGATGTCCGCGGGAGATAATTAATCAGAATTTTGCCGCTATCGCAAAAGACCTTACCCGACAAAAGACACCGGATTACTAGTGGAGTGCTGGAGTGGTGAAGTGCCGGATTAGAGAGGGTCTACTGTATACAATTCAATAGGTTTGCTCCGTTGGTTTAGTTTATATGAATTTTTGAAAATATGACTGCAAAATCGCCAAAAATGCCTATTCACTACTTAGTTTTCCCAATGCCAGTTGAAGGGTGTGTAACTATTGTTGGCGGATGTGTAACTATTTTACACAACAGATGGAAAGATCAAAATGTTTCTATTTCGTTTCCTCTTCCCGTTGCAAAGCACGGGCACAACAGCTAGTATGTGATACAATTGTTCATCCACTAAAATAACAAGGCACAAATAAAGATTATCTTAATAACTAAAACTTACTCCTTCTGCTAAAACATAAGCATATTCTGCTAGTAAAGGAGTGTTAATAATCCGCCACTTGTGCTTAGCTCTCTTGAAATGTGGATCCGGGTAAAGGAAAAACATCTTCTTTAACTGAAAAAGGATAAATGACTCTGAATAATTGTACTATTTTTAAATCATAAAATAAAACTAACACATTAGAACATAATTTTATTCCCGTTCAAGTCAATCAAAACACACAAACAAAAACAAACAAATAACCCAGCTGATAAACAATAATATCAACATGATCAGTTTACAGACAGTACAATAATCATGATGATTTTAATCAAACATAAGTTGATGTGTATAGAAAACGTATTATTTCAATTGCAGTGACTCAGTCTATTGGACAAGGTTACCAACCAATAAACATTTATTTTAACACGTTAGCTGCCACGTCACCCCGATCGGGGTGCCACCAGTTGGCTCGTATGTGAGCACTGTCACCCCGATCGGGGCGACAGTTGTAATTTGTAAGGGTTTTTTTCTTTGCCGCTATTTGACAGTCTTTGATGTTCAACGGCAGTCAAACATTGTGGCTTATAAATACATACTCCAAGCTAACTAGATATCAATGTTATATTGCATTCTGATGTTTATAAAATGTCCAAACTTACGTCACAAAGTACTGAAATGTTGTCACCCCGATCGGGGTGACGCTATTTTTTTCAACAATTTTATCTACTCTTTATTGAAATATGCACCATAAAATGACGTAACGTTTTTCTTATTCAGTTGGTGTTTATATTTTATAAGAGTTTTTTGTATCTTATGACTGAAATTATTTCCCTAACCTGAACATAAAAGTAAGTATTTGGGTAATACTGATGAAAAACAGATAAGAAAGAAAACAAACATATTTTTGAAATCTTTTATGTCAAACTGTAAACAATATTACATTGCTAAAAAAAACTAAATATATGTATAATAATGAATAAAAACATGACAACTGCTTTTAGAAAAGTAAAAAGTTGACTGGCCTACTTGTGTGTGTTCCTAAAACAGTCCTTGCACAAAAACGGCTTCTGGGGGCAAGTTTCACAAAATGTGTTTACTTTCTTCGATTTCCTAGCAGTCTCACGCCCGCCTGCATTCTGAGCTTGTTGGTAGCAGATCTTGCAGTGACGTCTTACCCGCCTTTTGTTTCGGCCTTCTCCTTCGAATTGGGCTGTCTCCGTTAGATGATGGTGGCCAGTCACTCGAACGGGATCGATTTCTTCGTCACGAAGGCCCAGAAGAGCGTAAGCCACTTTCTCTCTGAAAGTTGTGATGGAGTACACATGACGTTTTGCTGCTTGGCCAGTGGCACCTACAGCCTCTTTGTACCCAAGCCAAGCGTTGACAACAGCAGTTCCAAGGAGCATTTCCTCCGCTACCTTGTGATACCATCTCATCGATTTCCTTACAGCCGAGCTGTAAGAAGACATCTGATCGGACAAATCGATGCCCATTTTAGCTTTGTTATAATGGACAACTACCTGAGGCTTCAGTATAGGGGTACCATTTCGACTCCTCTTTCCCGTGTCTTCATACACATTAGTGTGTTTCGTTGACATAATGCGTACCTCCCTCTTGTCAACCCATCTGGTGTACGTCGTGCCATTTGGGTACTCCAGGCAGCTCATTTCTCCTGTACCAAGGGTCAAATTTGGTGGGATTGTCTTTTTGTGTGGAAACCATGCACGGTTTGCAATTACTGTACCCACAAGGTGAGTCTGTCTGGTGAGAAGAACATTGGCCAGGTCCAGAGACGTATAAAAATTGTCGATATACAAAGTATGTCCCTTGTCCAAATAGTCATTTATGAGGTCCATGTCAACAGACATTGCCAAGGACGATCCTTCATCGATGCCGGTTCCTTTACCCATATACACTTTTGTCTTCAATGTGTAGCCGGTCGTGTCGCAAACCTTGAAAACTTTTATACCATACTTATGGGCTTTTTGGGGAAGATATTGCCGGAAGATAAGACGACCTCTGAACGGAATCATACTCTCGTCTATTACAAGATCTTCTCCAGGATTCTTGTTTCTTTTGAAACATTGATTGAGATGGGACACAAGTGGCAAAATCTTGGCCAAACGGCCCTCCTGATCAAGGTTGTCATTATTGTTGAAGTGCCAGAAGCGAAGTAGAAGTTGAAATCGGTTTCGGCTCATAACTCGATTTGCAACCAAGTTTCGGTACAGCAGTCGCCTGGACCAATAATCCGTTATTCTGGGCATGGGAACAAGGCCCATGTATAATAAAAGGCCCAAAAACTTTTTCATTTCCTCCACGTTAGTATCCCGCCATTTTCTTAGTCTACTACTACGATTTAATCTTATTTTCTGAAGCACCTGCGCTGCATTTCGGTTAGTCTCATCAACCATAACCGCCAGGATTTCATCGTTTAGGTAAGATGAAAAAAAATCAATCGGCTGTGCAGTCCTTGGTAAATTAAATTTGTATTCTGAGTTACCACCAAAAACAATATTTTTTTGTCTACCTTCTGGCAACTTCCATTTGTCTTCTTCTTCTTTTTTCATTTTAAGTTTATCCTCCTTTTTCTTGAGTTTTTTGTACCTTTCGCCCAAGGTAACATACACATCACCATTCAAATAATCCGCTCCTGCGCCCTCATCCAAATCCTCATTCATACTTTCCCTATCATTCTGGTCATTTACACTCTCAGTCTGGGTATCAGTCTCGTTTGTTGCTGAATATAAATTCATATTGTATTCATTTACATCACCTTCATTGTTGCTGTGCTCGCTCTCTGACATTGACAGGAGGGTAGGTTGAAAGTCCGGGTCGATGTCCATTTCGTCGTCCCCGTCTGACTCATCACTGTCTTTAGCACTACCTCCCAAAAAACCATCACTCAGATTTCCATAATCTAGTTCACTTGACATTGGTAAACCCAAAAAACGTTCGATATCATCATCACCAAGATTGTCACTCATATTGGACAAAAGCCACAACACACTATGAAAACCAACACAAAAACTAGGTTATAAATAGCTAAAAAGTACAACACAAGAAGAAGTAAACATAACCCAGTAGAGTAATAAGCAGGTGTTGTTGTCTTCACGCGCCAAAATGCCGCTACTGCCAACCGAACAAAATGAAATATATCCCAAATGGTCGAATTTCAGTGCCACCCCGATCGGGGTGACAGCGATATTTTCCAGCAAAATTTGACTGAAAAAAATCACTGTCACCCCGATCGGGGTGACACTTATTCCGCCATTTTCTTATATGTATTTGGACAGATAACATTATAACTAACCTAGATAAGTATAAATAACATCATATAACTAAAAAATTACGTGAGCATGTAGTTGGCAATACAACAATCCCCCCCGAAAATAGCCTTGGCAGCTAACGTGTTAAATAATAACTAAGAACAGTTGACTCAAGTTTGCCAATCTTCATAACGTCCATGGAATCTTAAACAGATAGTGAAATTTTTTTCTAGGATGTTAGGCACTAGCCTGGGATTGTTTTTCACATTACTTCAGGTTAGACCAACGATCACATAAGACCAATAGAAGAAGCAGGTTGGCCGCAACGTGAAGCAAGAATGAATATTTCACTCGTTTCCCTCAAGATGGCGGCTGCTGGCCGTGATGAGCCCCAGTGGCGAGGGCTAATAAAATGTTAATTGATATTACTAATATCTATACTTATTTAATACGCAAGCAGGTTTTTTGTGACAATTACTCCTCCGAAACTACTGAACTGATTGACACGTTTTTGGTGTCATTGGAAAGAGCGTAACGTGAAGTTGTGCAGGAAACTTTCTTTTTAGGGAAATAATTAGAGAGTGAGGCCCTGGGGCCCTTTAAACTTTCGTATTTATCCATAAGATTAACATGGGAAACAAAATTTGTTATGGAACTTCAGCTGTTGTCAGAAATTAAAAGTGAAATATTTATTGATGGTATCCATAGTAACAAAACAAACCCACTAAATTTAAAAATGTAAACAAGCAGAACTAACTGTCAAAATAATTTTGATTTCACAATTCCTCACAGCTGGTCCAAATATATTAAATACTGCATGATTATTAGAACAGGAATGGTATGGATCATAAACATAAATAAAATATGTCACTCGCCCGAATGTTTAAACATTTAACATTGATTAAATGGAACTATCAAACTATATGTTAATGTCATTAGTATTGGATTCTTTCAGTTACGTCATTTGTTGACCGAGTCTGTCCAATATTTTTGAGCTTTTTTTTTTTTTTTTTTTAAGGGAGAGGAGGGAAAATGCTTTTACGCACACAGGTAGCCAGCCTGTAGTGTGAGACTCCTGAATCTATCGCAGACTACTCACTAAAAAAACCCCTCTACTCTGTTGGACACAGACCTGGAATTGTTTGTCACATTACTTCAAGTCAGGCCAACATGTTACCTAAGCCCTCAGGGCTCTCACCATTTATGGCATTTGGATACTTTAAGACCTACACCGCATCCCGGTCAAGGTCGAGCTTCTTGGCGCGGAGAATACCCTGGATGTAATGTGACACACAGGTCCAATTGTCCTCACCCTCCGTCATCATCGGTATGACGGTATGAATATTTTTGAGCTGCTGTAATAATATTTTACAGGAAATAATTGTTATATAAATTTATGGATATAAGTAATAATTTAGATTCTACAATCATTGCTGTTATTAAAATTGTGTATCCGCAGCAAACCTTCAGACTAAGCGAATTTCCATTTACCTGGCTTAATTTCTACAAAAATATTCCCTGAAAATTGTCATTTTTTCCTATTTAAATAACATTAAGTTCATTTTAATATGAGTACCTAGGTTTGCTACTACAGGGAAGGTAGGTGTGTTTTTGTTGAAATGTTGATAGCTTAGTATGATTGTTATTTGTTTGCAAATCCTGTAATACTTTACAATTGCTCGAATTCGAGCAACATGAACACTAGTTTGTAAAAATATGCCTTAGCATTATTAATAATCTGATAACTAAGACAAATACCTGTAAAGCAAGCTTTTTAAATGTTTTCTGTCGTTTGCCGTTTTTGAGAAAAAGTTAATTTAGATAATTAACAACACTAAGTGGATATGATACTCCCTGGAGTACTACGACTATCCGCAGTACTATCCTGATAATTAGACCAATTCGTTAATACCAAGTCAAAAATAAATGTGATTCGGATTCCAATATAAAGTGTAGGTCCCTTAGTTGCCATTAGCTGCATGGGCTATTAATTAACAGCTGTGTCTAAGGAAGATGTCGGCCTTAGTCACTAACAAGACTACAAAATCGCACCACTCATCCTACACTCATCTCCATTCATACTGGGCTTAAAATTAAAATACCTACTTTGTATGGTCGCCATTTCATTGAAAAGAATGAAGAAAATTAAAGAATTAACAAAAACTTTTTGGGAGAAGCGAATATTCTGAAAACATATAAATTAGTTCATATAATGAATGTAGGCTATCTATGTTGTATTAACCCTTTGAGGTTGAATTTTTTTTTAATTTTCCGGCGAGTATACCTGACAAAAAAAATTTAAAAAGCAACAGCAGACAAATTTTTTCACGTCATAGTTCAAAACTAATATAAAAAACCGACTATTTAAATATTTAAAAAAAGTAAATATTGTAACATCCTGTTACATTGCTTTATCAATCTGTGACCACGCTGATTTTAAGAAAAAAATACCTTTTGAAGAAAATAAAATGAAGTAAAATTTATTATAAACTTAGTTCCCTCCCCCCAATTACCCTAGATATTTGAGGTTCTACTGTACTGATAAATCCAGCCCTGCATGCTTAGATGTATTAAATCCATAAGTTTGTAGGGTAAGTAATTCACCTGTCCTTTGTAGAAGTAGTTTGGAAGATACTTCATGGCGTTTGTTCTAATGCAGGCTATGTTCTGATACTGGCCAGGGTTCTGGGAGCGGAGTGCTTCAATACGATCCATCACATAGTCAGAAACTTTGACACGGATCTCCATCCCTAACATCAGTGTCTCAGGGAACATAAGGGATAGAGTCACTGGAGGAAAACAAAATATGTCAGTTACTGAAGTTGAGAGTCAAAGAAAATAACAGTCTTTAGATAGCGGTTGTAGTCGGGGTCACCATTTTGGTCGTGGTTGTTTGTGTACATCAAATAAATTACGACCAAATAAGTAAGAGAAAAGTGTTTTAATAAAAGAGTTAAATTTTGTGTACAATCCTCTAGACAAACAAAACCACTACAGTAGAACCCCTCATATCCGGCCACCACGGGACCAAGCCCCTGACCAGATAACGATTTGGCCGGATAAACCAACCTACTACGAAAATGACAATTCATACCTAATAATAATAGGTAATCAATATATGCAATCAAAAGTATAATTTAATTCTGTTCTGGGATCATTTTTAGAAAAATAAACATGTTTGTAATAAAGGAAAAAATATTTGTAGGTTAAAGTCATTAAGTACTGAATGTACAAATATTATGATTCCAGGTAACAAAACATATTAAATGGAGGTAAAAATGACAATAAATTGTACTTAAAGATCATTAGGACTTAAATGGTACTTGAATTTCTACTCAACATTCATAACCATTTTGTGAAATACAAAAATTAATGTACAGTACTCGTACTGTACTGTACTAAACCCACTTCGGAAATAATCAACCAACTGATCAAAGGTTAGGCCTACTAGCTCAACTGAGTATAGTGACTCAGCAAATAAATGTATAAACAAACAGATAAATAGTGAGAACAATTTATTTTATGACTTGAACAGTCACAAAGACTAGTGCTTGCATCTAAACGTCTGTAAGCTGTGAGAAAAAAATTTTTATATTGGCTTCCTGGAAGGGGCCGGATAAACAGAGGACCGGTAAAACCAAGGATATTATATGAGGGGTTCTACTGTAACTTATAATGCGTTGCTATGACAACGTCATCAGCTGACGCTACAAATGCAATCAATAAAACCCAGAGTTTTACATGGGAAAATATAATAAGTCAGCTTAAATTTGTATATAGTTATGTGAGTAAAGAATCAGTGATTTGTTTTGAAGTGTATTTTTTGTATTTTTAAGTTGGGCAATTCCAAGCAGTCTTATCTATGTGACTAATCTTTGGACACCGGTTACCTGACCTGGCACTTCTTTGAACTTTATTCATACAAGCAACTTTATTTACAAATGTCTTAATTGAAACCGAGTTTTTCCATTTTAATTTGCAAAACCATAAATAAACATTTTAAATGTTTTTGTCTTATTTTATTGCTACTCTATTTGAAATATTGATAAGCGACGGCAAATTTTCCCAGACGAAATTTTACGAAAGCAGCTGGTAATGGATTCAAAAGGTCAGGTCCACTAAGAAGAGCGTCATTAAATGATACACACCGTTCGACTTTGCAGCTGCGTCAAAGACCGATCTTAATATTTGTTGGGCTTATTGGGGTTCACAACCCTGAAATGAGGTAGATAATAAGTATGATCATTTAATATACTTGCCTCATCTTCACTTAGTTTTCGAATATACCCTTTTTCATTGTAGTCGGCAATCTTCTTTGTGTATTCGTCTTTAAAGGAAGGATCCTTTGCCATCTTCCCTTCAATGTGTTTTAGTCTTTTAAGAGCTTAACTTTTTTTATCGTAACTCGAGGGATATTTAAAATCATCTGATTTCCACAACAAGCCAGATTCATAACGTTCTCCGATTTTCCTTGTTGTTTTTTCCAAGATTGACATTGCACGTTCGTCTTCTACCGATTTTATTGATTTGTTTTCTACTGGAGATGCACCGTAGTTGTCAATTTCAAAGGAACCTTTCACCAAATCATGTAATCTGTCGTGATCAAAGGACAATAAGGTGAAATCGTCAACACGCCCAGTAAATTCCGGACACTTGCCATGCATTGACCATCCTAGGTAGCTCCATGACAGTACGGGAGCATTTGGCGGACCTTTGATAACTTTTCTGGTCAATAATAATTCACAGTTATCTTGACCTATCAAAATGGTAGGTTTGGCATGAGATGTTGGTAAAGGTTGGCCAATTGACTTTAAATGAGGCCATCTCTCACGAAGCTTTACTGAGTCAATCGACTGTCGGGGTAAATCTAGAGGTGATTGAGTTCTTACATTTTTTAATGTGAAAACTTCTTCTTCATAGAGCCCTTTTATTTTAAGTTCAACTCGTCTGGACAATGGGTCAAAATGTTTAGTTGCATTTGACCAACAAGTGGTAAGGGGTTCAATGCTACCACTGATGCCTAATTTATCGGCAGTAGTCGAATCTAGCAGAGATATGGTTGAACTGTCATCTAAAAGTGCATATGTGTCGATCTGACAGCTTGGACCATATAACGTTACTGGACATACTCTTAGTAAAACACGGTTATTTATCGAGTGATTGCTTATAATTTCTTCTTTTGATTCATCTTCCTGCCTGAAAGTGTTCTGTACTCTGTCCCAGCTGGTCTCTTGAGCATTTTTAGAGGCACTGTCAGTATGCAGAAGGCGATGGATAGTGGCTGGTGGGATAGTTTGCACCCATTAATTCCACAAGGTATCTTTAACTTACAAAATTTGCAGTTTTTTCTCAATTATCATCTTCCACCGCTGCGCAACTTCTGCTTTTCTGAAAAGCTTACATTTATCGCTTTCATGACTCTCTGAGCAAAACATGCAAACGTTTTCATTGGGCGAATTAGTAAAAACTGGTTTAGTGTCACTTCTCTTCCGCGCTGTCTCCTCAGGTGGACGAAAATAAATACTCTTAATGGAACACTGGTTTTCAAGCCAGTTACAGAATACTTTCAGGTCAGTAGGTTTATCTAATTGCATGCTATTTACATGTTCAGCCCACCTATACTTCAGAGGATAGGGGAGCTTACTTAAAATGTCATTCAACAAGAGAGTATTTATTAAGTACATTTCCAAATCCAACGACTCTGCGGTAGAGTTGTTTAAAAGAGTTGTTGAAAACTCAATAAGGCTGACAGCGTCATCCTCCTTCACGTTGGAGCATGCGCTTCAACATTGACTTGACTATAAACTCTGGACGTCCAAAACGCATTTGTAAAGTTTTCATTACTGTACTAAAATTTTTACCTGGTATAAATAGAGGTTTTACCATTTTAAAGGCATCTCCCTCCAGACAATTTCTTATTCTGTCAAGGTTTTCATCGTCATTAAAAAGGTGTTTAGTCTTATTGTAACAGGAATAGAACATGGGCCATTCGTCTGGTTTCCCGCTGAAGGATGGAAGACGTTGTCGGCAAGAGACAGGTTGGTTGAGGTTGGATGAATTTATAGCTTTTGAAAAGGAGTCAGCAAGTTTACCAATAGCCGTAGACTTGATGGCTGACGATGTCAAAGGAACTGACGGTTCCTCATTTAGCCACCTCTTGACTTTGACATTAGAGTCCTCCTAAACAGTAGCAATATTGAAGCTTACCTTATCAGGGTCTTCATTATCTTCCAAATGACGACTGCCCAAGACTGAGGCGGACTGATTACTTCCCAAGACCCGAAGCAGACTCAAGTTCGGTCCTTACTCTCAGCAGACACTTCTGTCGTTCTAGTTCTCTTGCTTCAGCTTGACGTTGTTGTTCCATTTCCCTCTCCTCTCTTTTCCTTTGTTGTTCCTGCATTTGAAGTTGACTTTAGCCTCAAATTCTCTTTGGCGTTGCAATTCTTTTTCTTCCTGCATTTTTTCTAGTCTGTTCATTTCTTCAATTTCTTCTACTTGTAATTGAACTAACCGGCGCTTGCTGGAAGTTGAAGATGTGGATTTTGACTTAGAAGGGGGTTTTGGAGGTTGGCTATCTTTTTCTATGAGTTCATCATTCTTGTCATTTACAATCTCAGCGGAATATCTATTTGGAGGGTGTTTCTCTCTCCCTGACTTTCGGATTGACATATTTCTTGACATAATTTATAAGTCGGGTTTTGGCACCAATGTTAAAATTTCAAAGACAAGACTAAAAGACAATTCATGAACTTCAAGTATATTTTAACAAATTTGGACATTATTTACAAATCATAATAAATAAAACATATGTTAGCTATTAATCAGAAAGATTAAGGCAGGCAATAAGTTATAACAGTACAGCTTTTAGATTTTTTTATCAATAGACAATTCCTTTATTACAATTATTTCATCAAGAAATGTTACAGCGTCAAATTCAAATAAATAACATTGGTATAATAGATCAAAGTGAAATGGAAAAGCTTCTTCAGTGTTGTGTGTGGTCTTGCCATGCAAAGAACTCCTTTAGGGTGTAGAAAGCTTGTCTAGCAGCCATCTCCGTAGCTTCCTCTTCATCAGCACAGGGCCTCCAATTTTCAAGTGGTCTGGTAGCTTGTTTAGCATCTTCACTCCTGCATACAGTGGTTTCTTTTCAAACATTGCTGTTCTGTGGCCAGGCAGCACATAGTTTCCTGCATATCTGGTGTTGTATTCATGTACATCTCTTGGCTTAGGCGGGTCTTTGGTTACACAGTAATAAATAGTTTCTAGGATGTAGGTAGATGGAAGTCACCGTCAGGATGTTCAGGTTTTTGAAGGCATTTATACAGCTTTGTTCTTTACTTATGCCTGCTATTATTCTGATAGCCCTTTTCTGCATAACCAGGACCCAGTTAAGATTGTCCATAGTGGATCCACCCCAGACAGTAATACCATAGCGTATATGGCTTTCAAACAATGTATGGTATGCAGTCCTCGTTGTCTCAGGGGTACTAGTCTCTTTGATACGTTTTATGGCAAAGCGAGCTGACCCGAGTTTTTGGCAAAGACAAGCTAGGGCCTACATGACAATCCCAGGATAAATATTCATCAATTATGACACCTAGATGTTTTATTTCTTCAGCTGCTGTCAGGTTGGGCATTTCAGATACTGTGAACTTTTTATTTCCAAAAGTAATTTGCTTGGTCTTACTTTCATTTAGGACTAAGTCATTTTTCATACAGTAGTCCTGTGTCATATTGAAAGCTATATAGGTGTTTACTTCTAGTTGATCTATGTTTCTATTTG